CCTGGCCGGGGAGCCGGCGCGACTCGGGAGCGCCGAGCGCGTGGGGAGCCCTTCCAAGCTGCCGGCCTCTGCCGCTGAGATTTTCCGCTTTCCGCCCGGCCCCTGGCCCCGCAGTGCGTTCCGGGCGCGCGCTAGCGCTCTCTCCGCACCCAGCCCGTGGTCTCCCGCACCGACCCACGCTGCAACTTTTCTTTGCCACCTTTCTCGCCTCGCCCACAGACGGAGCCCCAACCCCAACTCGCCTACCCATCTCTCACCTCTGCAATTGTGGATCAGATATGTCTTTCTTCCTTCACTTTCTATCCCTCTGCTAAGGGAAGCTTTCTTTTAGCAAAGGGATCTGGGGATACAGTATCTCATTGATTTGTCTCTTAAATCCTCACTCCGTGTTTTCCCGCATATCAGACTTGCAGAGTAACAGGCTGGGTAGTAGCTGCTGACGCAAGCAGATAAGGCTGTGGGGGTTGGGAGAGAGGTATTCCCCAGCCAAGAACTCGGAAAGATCCTCCGTGCTGGTATTTCCCTCAAAGATTGCAGCTCACCTGGGAATAATGATCAAGAGGCTGTTTAATGTGAAAGCCACGCAGCTTTTCAACTAGGGAGAGGAGTAACAGCTGAACATTAAGGTTGAGTTGGGAAAGGTCTGATGCAGAAATCGACGAACCATTCACTGCCCTTTCCAAGAGAAGCATTATCATTGCCAATACATCACTTCCCCATAATTAATAAAGGAGCGCTGCACCAGGCCCTGGCTCTCTTGACAGCTCATTCATCCTTACAAATCCTTAATGACTTGGCAGGGTGGAAGGCTAGACCTACTGTGGAGTTCACAAACCTGGCTGCACGTCAGACACCTGGGAAGCAGGTTCAAAATGCAGATTAGAGCGTCCCATCTTGAGAGTCTGATGCTGTAGCTCTCAAGCAGGACTCCAAGTTTGTATTTTTAAAGCACCAGTAGGTATTGGCTGCTGGTGTGATTTGTCAAGGTGTGTGTATGGAAGTGAGGGGGTTGGGGAAGGTGAGAGAAGGAGAGAGCTGCAGAGCACCAGGCAGAAAGTTCAGTTCCTTAGCAGAATTCTCCCCCATACTTACGGTGCAGATCTGGGGCAGCCAGCCCATAGGAAAAAGAGATTCTGGCCAGGAGCCCCACTGTTTGACTATGAGGCAAAGAGGGCCTAAGGGAAGTAGCCCTCCTCTGCCTCTATCCCAGTGGCTCTCAATCCTGGGGAGCTTTTAAACATCCCAGTGCTTAAGCCACACCCCAGACCCATTACCCTGGAATCACTGGGGGTGGGACCCAGGCATCAGTATGTAATTTTTGTTTTTTTTATGTTCCCTGGTTGATTCCTATGTTTGTTTTTGTTTTTATATTTTTATTGATTTTAGAGAGGAAGGAAGAGGGAGAGATAGAAACATCAATGATGAGAGACAATCATTGATCAGCTGCCTCCTGCATGCCCCTCACTGGGGATCGAGGCCGCAACCCGGGCATGTGCCCTTGACTGGAATCAAACCTGGACCCTTCAGTCCACAGGCCGAGGCTCTATCCACTGAGCCAAACCGGCTAGGGTTCTGGTTGATTCCTATGTAACCTAGGTTGAAAGTCACTGTTCTAGGCCAATATTCTTCAAACAAGAATGTGTGTGTGAATAACACGGGGAGTGTCATTTCTTCTGCAGCAGATCTGGAGCAGGCCTGGGATCTGCACTTTTGCATCACTTACTAGTGATGGTGATGCTGCCTGAAGGAGGCCCTCCCTTTCATTAGCAGCAAGGGATTCCTGAATTCCAGTGGTTCTGGACACTGGGCTTGGTGGAGGACACTGGAGGCCTCTTCTTGTCTTGTATATTCCCAGGAGTCATTCCTCTCTAAGAACAATTCCTTTCCTCGCTGTGAGTGACATTTTCTTGGAAGCCACTCTGCGCACAAACTTTTTGTTAGACTGCACTGACCAATGGGTGTGAACAGAGTCACACGTGGGATGACACAGGTCACAGCCAAAAATTAGAGCATCAGCTCAAAATTACTTAGGGTCCTGACTTGAAGGGAACGTGAAAAGGCAGACATTTGGCTCACACTCAACAAATGGGGCTTGGAGAGTCAAGTGGCTGCTTTCTAGATGACAGAGAGAAAGCATATAACTAAAGACTCCACCCAGAGGAAATGGGACCAAGCTAACTGAAGGAGCTGAGAAGAAGAGCTAAATGAATATGTGAGTGGAGTACATCTCACTGGAATAGATTCTGTGCAAAGGGTGTGGTCTATGATTGCTATTATGGACCACTTAGTGAAAGCTCAGGTTTTCTTGAAACTATAAGCACGCTTGTGATGTGGGATAAAGAGAACCCTATTCTTAACGTCTTTATTCCAGTGGTCCAAGGACTTTATTCCAAAGTCCATCTTGTCAGTAGCCAAGAAAGCATGAAGGCTACATCTTGAGTCTTTTTGTTCTTCCTCTTTTCCAGCCAAGACTGATAGTAGGTCAACTTGGATTATTTGGGGCAAAAAACTTTCATTAAATGGTTCTCTCTTTATCTAGAACCTTTAAAGGCCACCCGGTGCCTAGTGATTTGGCATCCATTTTGATTTGGCTCAATATTTGAGCCCCTAATTTTTATTTTGCCTTTCATTTCTCATTAAAGGCATCTCTCTAAGGGTTCCAGGGCCCTGAGGCAAATCAAACCTTTTGCTCCCTCCTAAATGTCAAGCATGACTGGATTTTTATTGCAAGAATTATCAAAGGCTACATCACTGGCACGAGGCTCTAGTGAAGGAAATTGTGAGGCTACTGCCGGCTGTGACTTTGGAAAGAAGAAATGTTGTATGTAGAAAGGTGGTGATTAACATTCCACTGGCAATAGTATTTCTTAATTGTGTCCTTGAATATGAATTGCCATTCTTTCCTTTGGACTTGAGATGCAGAGTATAGGTTTCCACAGTTATGTCTCCCAACAGTATGCCAGGACCATTCGGGGACTCTACTAAGACTTGATATATTCTAAAGATGGTACAGGTTTTCAGAACCATTTTTCCTGAAAATCTTCAGGAGATTTAATGAACTCATTTTTAGACCAAAGTATAAAACTTGTGAATTAGGCCTAACTTTTTATCCAGTCTATGGAAAAATTAGGGGTACCAAATTTTTAAAAAAAAAGTTTAATATTTTGCTAAAACACTAATTTTTCATCACAGGGAAATTTTATTTGTTATAATGTAATTCCTTTTAATTTAATTTGAATTACTTAGGTCAGAGGTACCATCACTGTTTTTTGTTTTTGTTTTTTAATGCCTGGTGTTTTTTAAGTGTGTTAATATAGAACTAGTCCTTCCTGACCTCATTGACTATTTTGCCAGTTGTCACCATTCAGATCTCTCTCTGCTCATTCATGGTCTGAGTCTGATACTGATTTGTACATAAGAGAAGAGAATTATAATGTCCTCTGCCTGGCCAGCTAGTAGATCGTGGCATTAACCATTTCCCCACATCTAGGGACCTCAGGTGGGCCCTGGCCCCATTTGTCCTTCGGGTTTCTTTTTTGTTTTTGTTTTGTTTTGTTTTGCTACTGGTAGGACCCAGGGGTTTTTGCTTCAGGGGTGACAAGATTATTGGTTTACTTCTAAGTGCTACTGTTCCTTCTCTGGGGTCTTATTCCTGCAATTCAACTTTTTCTTCTGTGTTTTGTTTTGAACAGCTGAGCACCACAGTGGAACCCCATCCAGGAAGCAGGCCCTGCTATTGGGTGGGAGCAGCCTTACTCGTAGACTAACAGTTATCACCCATTCTCCCCTGTGCTCCATGGCTGGGAGGTCACCCGCTTCCTATGAATTTGTCACAGTCTTTGAATAGCAGGTGCCTGCACTTCTGCATCCGAGCAATTATAGTCAAGGGTTGGGCTTGTACAAAATCCTAACACTTGCATTTCTCATTTTTACCCCTTATTACATTAAGGACATATCTGGCCTGTATCCCACAACTGTACCCAATGGTAAGATTGCCAATGAGTAACTCAATAGCAGAATCATTATCTAGAGCGACTAGGGGGTCAGAAAATAACAGAGACTAGTTAAGAGTTAAGGCTTTGGAGTCAGAATATCACTTTTATCTGTGTGACCTTGGGGAAGTTTCTTAACCTCTCTCAGTCACAATTTCTGTTAGGAAAACCTACATGGTAAAATTTTCCTTCAGGGAGCTAAAGGGGGGGGGGGTAAAATGTATGTAATGTACTTGACATAGTTCCTGATTATAGTAATTATTTAATAAATTATGTTGTTTATGTAACTATTAATAAAGTTCCATAAAATGTTATAAAGTCGTTTTAAAAGTTTCTACATAATTAGGTTCCACATATTCAGACCATCTCATTACTGATAATAATTATGCTATCATTTTTGTTATACAGAATTCTGTACAACAAATAATCTAGGGAAATTGATGCCCCTACAGCATGAAAGTATTTCCTGTCTTCAATTAAAGAAGCTACTTGTACAAGTTCTGATTTTGTTAAGTACAGAGTATGGTTATATGACTGATAAAGGGGACACAACATTCTGGCTGCATCACAATATTTATTTTCCTTTATGTCTGGTTATCATCTTGG